GTCCCCCAGGCTCGGTCGCTACTTAAAGACTCGGCAAAGCCCACCATGACAATTTTTTCAAGCTGCGTCCAGCCGTGTTTAGAACATTGTTGGGCACCTGGTGTGAGGCTCAAATATATAGGCCTGGAGGCGAATCGACTCAATACCAAGGCGATGCAATCTACTTGGGTGGCATTCAAAGCACGGGCGGGGATCACAAGAAATAGTCCCACCAGCCCTTTGGGGAGCTCCGTCTGCTAAACCATCATCTTCCCCTTCGGAGAGGGGGGTCACCCTCTCCCCCTACCCCTCCCCAGGTCTGGAGGGGGGCGTTCCGCGAGGGGCTGGAGCGTCCAAGATGGCTCCAAGAGACGCAGGAACCCTGGGAGATCCTAAGGAACCGACGCAGGCCCCAAGAAACCACGATGCACTCTGAGAAGTCCTGGGGAAGATGTGCGGATCCGAAGGAAGCCCCAAAAAATCAAAAGGAATGCGCATGAATCCTGCCGAATCCAAGCGAAATTGAATGGAATCCTGGGTGGGGTCCTCAGAATCCGGTAACATAGGCCACGTTTTGCCCTAGTAGTAGTAGTAGTAGTAGTAGTAGTAGTAGTAGTAGTAGTAATAGTAGTAGTAGTACAAGTAGGATTAGTAGTAGTACCCGTTTTCGTAGAACTAGTAGTAGTCGTAGTAGTCGTAGTCGTAGTAGTAGTAGTAGTAGTAGTAGTAGTAGTAGTAGTAGTAGTAGTAGTAGTAGTAGTAGTAGTAGTAGTAGTAGTAGTAGTAGTAGTAGTAGTAGTAGTAGTAGTAGTAGTAGTAGTAGTAGTAGTAGTAGTAGTAGTAGTAGTAGTAGTAGTAGTAGTAGTAGTAGTAGTAGTAGTAGTAGTAGTAGTAGTAGTAGTAGTAGTAGTAGTAGTAGTAGTAGTAGTAGTAGTAGCAGTAGTAGTAGTAGTAGTAGTAGTAGTAGTAGTAGTAGTAGTAGTAGTAGTAGTAGTAGTAGTAGTAGTAGTAGTAGTAGTAGTAGTAGTAGTAGTAGTAGTAGTAGTAGTAGTAGCAGTAAAAGTAGTCGTAGTAGTCGTAGTAGTAGTAGTAGTAATAGTAGTAGTCGTAGTAGTAGTAGTAGTAGCCGTAGAAGTAGTAGTTGTAATACTAGAAGTCGTAGTAACCGTATAGTAGTGAGAGTAGTAGAAGTAGTAGTAGTAGTAGTAGTAGTAGTAGTAGTAGTAGTAGTAGTAGTAGTAGTAGTAGTAGTAGTAGTATAGTAGTAGTAGTAGTAGTAGTAGTAGTAGTAGTAGTAGTAGTAGTAGTAGTAGTAGTAGTAGTAGTAGTAGTAGTAGTAGTAGTCGTAGTAGTAGTAGTAGTAGTAGTAGTAGTAGTAGTAGTAGTAGTAGTAGTAGTAGTAGTAGTAGTAGTAGTAGTAGTAGTAGTAGTAGTAGTAGTAGTAGTCGTAGTAGTAGTAGTAGCAGTAGTAGTAGTAGTAGTGGTGGTACTGGTGGTAGCGGTATGAATAATACGAGTCTTAGAAGAGGAGTGTGCAGTACCAGGAGGAACAATAGTAACACGTGGGATGCGGCTAATAATCTGAGCAGTAGTAATGTAATCGGCATAGTCGTAAGAGTGGTAATGGTATACGTAAGTATGGTGATCGTAAGAAACGTCACCGGCGTATTCCTTCTACGAGTCATCCGCTAGAACACTCTTGCACTTAGGGTCTGTGACCTTGCCGTAATGAATTGGCCTCGACGGCTAAGGGCCCCCCCACACAAGTACCCGCGGTCCTCACCCAATGGGATCCTATCCCACAGGGGCTCGCAAGACACAATCCCACATGGTAGGATCCCGCACGATAGATTCCACACCACACGGTCCCATGTGGCAGGGACCCGCATTGTAGGGCCCCCCACGACAAGGCCACACACGATTGGGTCGCACACGACGGTGCCCCTCATGATAGGGTCGTACTTGCGACAGTCCCACAGGATACGACCCCACACAAGAAAGTTCCATATAACACACCCCATATGCTGCTTTGACGAGATTGCACATTGTGAGTGTTTTGGGTCCACGTCAGTTTCTTGATGTATGCAGGGGAATAGGGCGTGTTATGTCCTGTAAGTCCCCCCCCCTGTGCCGAGAAGGGTGAGCTGCAAGCTGTCGTTGCATGCTGTTGCTGCTAGTTGCGGCTTGTCGCTTCATGCTGCTGCTTACTGCTCCCTGTTACTGATTGTTCGTTGCTTGCTGCTGCTTGAACGCCTTGCTGCTGCTGGCTCAACTGCCGCGGTTGCTGGCAGAGGGTCGCACTCTTGGAGGCTCTCTTGGGGTCATTCTGGGCTGTCGTGGGGCGTCTCGGCAATCTCCTGGGGTCCATTCCGCTGTCTTCAAAACCTCTGAGGACCTTCTTGG